CGCTCTCTAGCTACCTGATACTACGTTTTTTGGCACTTTTGGTTTTTTTTTTTTTGTTTGTTTTTTTTTTTTGCTCTAATGTATTCTACTGTATTTACTTTTTTTTAGAATCATTTGCATTTTGAGTACTCCTTTGATGCATATGTTTTTACAACCAATGCATTATAAATATAAATTTCAAATTTTAGATGTAATCATGTCAGTTATTTAAATATCTAAGATTTGTGTGGCGTGAATGTAAATTTTTCAAATTTGAATCACATCAAAATATCACTAAGGCATCTGCTTGTTAGTTGTAAGTCCTCTCTGATCTGGGGTTTGATTCCCCCAGATTGTAAGGTGTGGTACTCGAATTCTTAGGCGCATGAGGAATGGTTGGGGCTCGTATAATAGCCTCCGGTCATTCCTTTTTTTAATATATATATATATATATATAATCTCAAAATGATTCCAACAGAATATAGGATTTTATAAAAATAGTTTTAAATATTTTTGTAAGGTGCAAAAAAATGAGAGAATTTTTTGATGATTTGGACTGGCACCATTTCAAAATTTGGATTATCATGCATGCTTTATTGGATGCCATTGTACAGCATGATGTGATTTACATCTTAGGAAGGGCTACATAACACATACCAACAACTATGATGCGGGGTGTAACAATTTATGCGATGAAGGTTCCAGAGAGAGAGAGAGAGGAGAGAGATGAGTCTTCGAAGAGGCTATAGTTGTTTTTGGTATGATTGGTGCCACTCTCAAAATCCTTTTACCAATAGTTTAGATTTCAGTGGTTCCAACTTATCATCCAATGAAATGAAGCTTTTGCCTGAAGCAGAAACATTTTCATGACAAATCAGAATCTTTAACATTCTCATTTGTTCTGGAATTATTTTGCCGCATATTAACATCATTGTAAGATGTGCGATATTTTTTTTAATTTAAATATTCGAAGTTGGTATTAAAATTTCCATTATAGTACCATTTTAACATGTAAGTGCATTTTTCAAATTGAGAGCCATATCCACAGAAATATCCTGGTGAAAGTTGTTTTGATGAACAGCAGATCAGGGAATATTGATTATGTGAAAGACCATGAATTTGTGAGGCTTGTTAGTCCCTGAGTTCCCATGCTGCCTGTTTTCATTTTCATCTTAAATCGTATTCATCAGAAGTGATTCATTCGAAATTCAAATTTTCTATTTTCGGAGTAATCTTTAGCCAGAATTGGCTATTTTGTTTCCAGTTTTCATAGGAACCTTGTAAACCTTTTCATTTTGGTTCTCCGGTTTGATTTCCATTGAAAGTAATGTTAGTATATGTTGCATCACCACAGTCCATCTAGGCTCCATACTTGTGCTTTCTTTTGATTGGCTGAAAGAAAATATAATATGCAGTAGTTGATTGATCCTCTGTCCTTTGATTTAAGATTTGAGTCTTTATCTTGTGCGTTTAGTTTAGGGTAGAGACTGAGGTGTGTATATGAGCAGATACAAAACTGGCACCATGCCCAAGAAGTTTGCTGAAGGCTATTTTGGATTTTGAAAATGCATGCGTTCATTTTGGTTTCTATAAATTGAGGTTACTTAATTGACTTTGTTAGAAGATCAAGTCCATTGTTGACGTTTGATGTCAAGGATGTTTGAATAAATTTCCCATTTTTTAATCAATTGTATCGATGAATAACATTTTTAACTTTCCCAGGAGTTTGCAAATATTAATGGTAAGATTTCAAAAGCTAAGGGGTCCCGATGCATGGCTATACACTTGTAAACAAATGTGAAACGAGATATCAATGAAAGGGTTGGAGTAGTTCCAATGAAAAACTAGATTAGAAAGAGTTGCATTAGATTGTTTCATCACATTTAACGTCGACTATCTGACGACCAAGTTAGGATAGTAGATGTTTTAGATTTTACGTATGTTAAGAAAGGTAGAGGTATACCTACAAAGGCTTGGGTTTATTATATAAAAAATGAACTTAATTTATTAGAATTAAATAAAAATAGAACATTCAATAAGACACGGGAAAAAAAGATTCATGTAGGTGACTCAACTTCGTGGAATAAAAACTTGCTCTTCTTGTTCTTGTTGTTGTTGTTGTTGTTGTGTTCTACCCATTTTATTAAATTAGCTTAAAATAGTTTTTAAACGAATTTAAGGTCATTTAGATGAGATTTTTTGAATTTATACATTTAGTCAAATTATGAATCAAATTTGATTGGCTAATTTTTATATAAATAGGATTAAGGAAGTAACATTCAAGTAAATTAAGTAAATTCATCATTAATCCCTCCTCTCTTAAGCTCGATCAAAGAGGCCTTACTCGATCTCCCTCTCTCTTCCTCCCCAAAATATTAATCATCTATCTAGCGTAGAATAGTAGATTAGCCTATTTTCCTCAACTTTCCCTTAGAATCCCAATCCATGTGTCCTTTTTCCTACCAAAAATGTACATATTCTGCATCCCAATTATGGATCATATTTTAGTTTTAGAATACTAGTTTCGAACAAAAGGAATTTCAATGCAAATAATAGCACCTCATTAATTACAATTCTAACACTACAAACAATATTCAAATTGTCCGTTAGCCAAAAAATTATAAAGAATAAATTGCAGCAATTGGAACATGACATGCTATGTCTAAGACATAGAAATCCATATTGTAACTACGTAATTACATGTAAAACGGAAAAGAAGAAGCATTAAATGATAAATACCTTGATTGAGAAAGCAAGTGGTAATAATTTTTCTGGATTCATTGCTTCCTCAGGGAAGTTGCGCAAGGCATGAACAAGTTTCTCAAAACCCAACTTTAACTGGAGAACTGATCTAAATAAGGCCATAAAAACGACAAATAAATTCATTTTGGGAAATTTACACATGTAGCACACGATTCTTATGTATTTACATATCTCACACCTAAACTTTGATATTTAGACATATAGCACGTTGGTCAAAAGGTGTGTTCACTTTTAAAAGGTGATATTATAACTATTTTTGATGTGATATTAAAGATTTGAGTTCGATGTGTAAATATGAAAGTTTAGGTGTGAGATAAGTAAATACATATGAAATGTCTGCTCCGTGTGTAAATGCCCCATTCATTTTATAGTTACCGGAATACAAAGCAGAAACTCACCAAGTCATTCTGACACAATGTCAACAAGGCCAAACCAACCTGAAAAACAATCTTCACTCCCTGTTGAAAACAACGATGGATCCATAGTTCAACTTAATAGGAGATTATTTATTAAAATAAAGCAATGAACAGATAATGATGACTTAATTAATACAATTTATGGGAAGCATTAAAATGTGTATAGATTAATTCACCAAAAGGGAGTTTGCTGAGTATCTAAGTACAGTTAGTGACAACGAGATGAGAATATAAGTGCAAAAATAGATTATAAATTGAATATAAGTAGAAAGCAGGACTAATAGAACAGTGTGGTTTGGCATTTACAACAGAAAGCAAAATCACCAACAAAGTAATAAGGAAGATTTACATGCATACCACTCAATTCATATGTATTTACATATCTAATACCTAAACTTCAATTTTACATGTTTGCCACATTACCAATGCATGAAAAGGTGTATTTCACTTCTTAAAAATTAAAACAGTGATATTTTTATGTGAAATGAAAGATTAGGTGGTATAAACGAAAAAAGCAAAATTTAAGTGATAGATATGTAAATACATAAAAATTGGGTGGTATGTATGTAAATGCCCCGAGTAATAAACAGGCATACATAATAAACAAGGAAGAGAAAAGAGGTTAAGGGGAAGACAAAAAGGGTGATATGCCTAAAAACGTTAAAAAAACAGATGCACCGTTCAATTGAATTGAAAGAAGTATGATTACATAAATCCAACACTAGGTATAAAAACAGATGCACCGTTCAATTGAATTGAAAGAAGAAGTATGATTACATAAATCCAAAACTAGGTAGTAGAGATAAAATAATGAAAGATCATAATGAAGTCCAAAGCAAAAAGATTAGGATTCAAGAAGTCAACAGAAGATTTCAGTATGGGGTAAAACATAGGGATATAAAAAATTGACCCAATATGCCAACTTGACTTGAACTAGACTCGAAAAGTTAGGGGACATAAGATACAAATTTAAGATGAGAACAAGTGATTTGAAACTGATTCCTTAGCCCAGTGATCCTTGCTTCCGGTTACAGTCCACCAAAAGAGCATTTGAGACGAGAACTTTTAAACTTCAAGCCATCAAATAATATTCTTTATGTGCTCATGTAAAGGATTCTGGAGAGAAAAGTGCCAACTACCCTCCAAAAAATAGAAAGATAGAAATGCAAATAATCCCTATATTCTGAAGTATTGTCTCTAAGCAGCAGTTAGACAATTTAATACATAAGAGATAAGACAACATAGTAAAAAGTTGGAAATATAATATCAAACATTGTTGCCAATTTTGTACTATAGACGCAACAATTCTCAGTTCTTACCCAAAAAAATGACAAAAACAGGATTCTTTAAAAAAACTAGAAAATTTACTCAACCAAATAAATGGGAAATTGAATTAGCTTAAATTTAAAGCTACAACATCAATTTTTTAGCTAACATTTAACATAAATTTCCAGGTAAATTAATATAAGGAAAGAAAAAAAACAAACCTCAAAAAGAAACACATCCCAAATTCGAAGGGCCAAAGGAAAAGGGAACGAGTAAGAGAATACGGTTATAAACCACTGACTGGCATACATGCTCGGATTAATCATTTCTTCAGAAAAATGTTGTCCTAACTTCGGCAAATAGTCCTTAACCAACCGTTCAAATTGAAATAAATATTGCTGCACTAGTGGTAAACCAACCTGTCATTTTAAAATTGAAATATAAGCACAAATGGTAGAAATTTTAAAAGGTAAACTGTTAAACAAATGGTGTGTTTATTTAAGATATACGACAAAAAACAAACACTTAATTACAAACAATGCCTTTTTATTTATCAGCACAGACGTGCTTAGTTACAAGAAAAACAAGAAGCATTAACCTGTTGCCTTACTAGATTTCAAAAAGAAAAAAGGCAGTATCCCTTCACAGTAGTACACAGAGGATTCCAATCCACTCAAATACTATTTATTTAATTTTGAATCATTATTTAAGTTCTATTTTATGAGCATTTACTATGAATTTACATATCTTACACCTAAACTTTCATATCACATCAAACATGCCACTATTATAACTTTTAAATAGTGAAATACACATTTTCATGAAACATAAGGTGGCATTTATGTAACAAGTAAAGCTTAGATGCTAGATATGTAAGGAATTAAGCGGTATGTATGTAAATCTTGTTTAAAGTTTTATATTAATAAAACAGCTTCCAAAGTTTCACTAGCATCTAGCAATCAGCTAACATCCAGCTGTTCTCCTTGACTAACTCAAATCAGGCTGATAAAATGCTGCCATGTTCATCATTTTGAACTGCATCCAGAATTATGGCACACGATGCAAATTACATGACCAAGAATCACTCCCATAATTTTCATTCCCATGTCTTCTTTAAAAGTTTATCTAATATCAGAAATCTCACAATTCTGCAAAATCTTTGCAATGATAAATTTGCTGCGTCAACTAATTCTGTTGAAGTGATTCATTAGCATCTATAAAGACAAAAGAAAGATAAAGACAAAGAAAGAGAAAAAGATCGCAAAAGTGAGAATATCACATCTCCATTACATCCACAAATACAGCTGAAAAATGATCATTCATGTCTAGGATATCAACTCATCCACATTCAGATTTGTTTTCATTAGAAAAAAAGCAGGCATTTACTTACAAACCACACAGCCCTTATGTATTTACATTCACTAGGGCTTTCAAAAAAGCTCGTCGTTCGCGAACAACTCATGCTCAGCTTATTACGTCGCTCGTGATTGATTCATAACCAAACACAGACAACTTTTTTTATGCTTGATTTATAAATTAGTTGAATACAAACAGACCTATGTTTGATAGTTGTTTGACTCGTTTCGATTCAAATTAAGTAAATAATTTTAAAAAAGTTGTATATTAAAAATAATTATAAATTTATACTAAAAAATTAAAATTATATCATTTATGTATTTAATTTCAGCCATCTGATTAGAAATTGATATCTTAAATTAAATCCCTAAATCCTATTAAATAATAAGTATTTAAATTAAAAAACACTAATCCCCTATTCCTACACCCCATACCCCACATCCCGTAGCCCACAGCCATTCGTTTCAAGTCTGGGACTGGGAGAAGCCTTAAGCGAGAGCTCATTGCCAGGGTAGGGCTTTTATTTGTTGTCACCACGTGAGTTTCCTTAATTTTTTCGCCGGTGGAGGTAGACTCATTTCCCATTTGCTCTTGTTTGTGGCTTGTGAGTCATTACTCACCTCTGTGAGTATTCTCTACTCTGAAATCTGAATATATTCTCCCATTTAGTCATTCTTTTGATATTTTACATGGGTAGCCCCCCTCTCTCTCTCTCTTTTCTATTATTTGCATAGATATTATCCTCAATATGGAATTGGGTTGTGAATATGATTGCTTTATTTTTTGCTTAAGGTTTGTTACTTCGATTTGAGACTTTGAGCTTCTTATTTTTATGAGCTCTTTATTTGGTAGTCGTTATTGAGACATGAGAAAGAGATACATTTTGTGCCCTATTTTTAATGGTATTTGTGAAGACTTTGAGATGATGGCATGATCGCATTACACATATATATGTTTAAACCCTTTTTATTGATTAGAATCTATGGAATGATTTAGAGATGCATCCTTTTTTAAGAATGAAGTTAAAGAGAGTATCCAATTATGGTGTTTCTAATTTTAAATAAATTTTTATAATTTATTTGGCGTTAATTTTCAACTATAACTCAATTCATGCCTATATTACATGATTCATATCCCCTAGTGGCATGCTGGCCACATTTTTCTTAATTTATGGTGTTGGTTCTTCTTTTTTGTAAAGGTTAAGTTAGACAACTTGCTGAATTTGGTAAGGGTGGGTTTATTAAAGTTGTCTTATTTAGCTCCATGCCATTTTATGCACTTTTTAATAGCTAAATCAGCTTGTTCTTATGGTTTTGGACTGCTGTACAGGAAATGTCAAGCTTCAGTTAGATTTTATTTAGCCATATGTGTACATGATGATTTTGATGGATGATATCTATGGTTGACCTTTCCATTATGGATTTTCTGTTGATTTGTTCAAGATGTGACATAAGTTTATCTTTCTTTTTGTGAAGCTTAAGCATATGTATTAGAGGGGAGAGGCCTCTCATGTGAAATTTTGTTTATGTTTTTAGTTATTTGCTTGTGTTGGTCCGCAATTTGTTGGCTTGGCTTTGCCTTTTAGTTTGCTCAATCTATTGGTGGGGTTTTCATCTGTTGGGTAGTTACCTTTCCGTTTGTTGGCTTTGTTTTATCTTTCAGTTTGTTGGCTTAGTTTTGCCTTTCGGTATGCTCAGGATACTAGTGGGATTTTCTTTTGTTGGGCTATAGCCTTTTGATTTGCTAAGTCTAAGGCGGTGTTTGGCTTCAGCTGTAGATCTATGTTAAGTAGGATTTATCAAATCCATGAAATCCGCCAAAACAGACACGACGGAGATGGAGCACGCGAGCAACTACAGAGTAAATCTGCCTTAGAGTCAGATTTGATAAATCCGGATTTATGCCGCAAAGGAGATGGAACAGGGGAGAGTTAGATTTAGTTTTTTTCTTTTTTTCTTTTGTTTGTCTGGATTTAATTTGGCTAAATCCTATTAAAAGTGTACTGCTAAACACCCCCTAAGAGGTTGAGCTTGGGTGGGTGATATTGGGTTTTACTAAAGAGGTCTTGAAAGGTTATTCTGATTGAGAAGTGATGAGTGCATTTATATATATGTAGTTCAACTACGCAATTTTTTTATATTATCGACCATGGGCGTGTGGGTTGTGGATGTAGCTATCTGATTGAATCTTTATAGCCTTCGGATGGAACTTATCATTTACATTCTCTTATGTTTATGTTTAGATTTCAGACTCTGAGCTCCACAAAATTAATAGTTTTGAATTTTTCTTTTTTTTTTCTTTTGGTAAATTGAACTTGCAGGAATTTTTTTCATCTACATTCAAATTCAAAATTATATAAGTTTTACAGGTTAAAAATTATATAAAGTGAAACAAGATTCAAGATTTCATGGCAAGTTGGAACTTGGATTGAGCAAAAAAGTTTAATTATAATTTCATCATATAAAAATGTATTTTAGTTATTGTTTGTAATGTAGTTTTAGTTAGATATTCTTATTTTGAATTGTATTTTACTGTAATTCTTAATTTGATGAAAATAAAAAAAACCATTTTGTAATTCATTTTTTTTATATTTGCTTTTATAAACTCAGCATTTTTTATCTTAAATTTCTAGCTAATTTAAGCTTTATTGAACAAAATGAGCCATTTCGAACATTTCAATTTGAACGCAAAAACTACATTACCGAGCAGATTCGAACACGAGTCAAATTTGAACAAAGTTATTTTCAAACGAGCAAAACACAAACAAAGTGTCGGGTCGTTGAGTTCAGCTCATTTACACCACTATATCTTATGTATTTACATATTTCAGGCCTAAACTTTCTTATTTACACACATAACACTCAAATCACTTTTTAAAAGTGAAATACATCTCTTCATGCATAGTTTTAAATATAATGCATAAGACCAAAGTGCTATGTATGTAAATATAAAATTTTAGGAGTGAGAAATGTAAATACACAAGAATTGTGTGCTATGTATGTAAATTTTCCCCAAAAAATGCATGTGTAGGCCATTTGAGTTACTATATGGCTTAAAATTCAATATTTGAGTGCAGCAATACAGACGCAAAGATAATTGTATTACGTATGCCCAATTAAAATTTTCATCTTTTATTAACCTTTGAAGCATGTGAGATTTTGCGATTCAACGGAAACAAAAATAGCATTTCTGGCTAATCTACAAAATTGTCATATGGAAAAAAGCTACGTCAACTGTTCATCAAGAACTTGGGTGCACGATTCAGTAAAAGAAAATAATCCAATATCATTTATTTGGGAAAGTTAAATTCATATGTAGCCTCTGTTCTAATCCAATTTACACTTATTTAGTTAGGACTATGCAACAAACGAGAGAAAAAAAAAACTATAAGAATCTCATTTTTGAAATAAATATGGTTACCTGGTACAGGCCTTCCATTGGTGCATGAACAGCTCCTTTCAGCAAAGCTACTAATAGCCAAAATGCATCTTCTTCACTCATGTACAGAAGCAACAAGCCCGCTAGAAATCCCATTCCCTAAATTCCAATCTTAGAGTTACACAGATTATGGTAGTTTTCTTACTATGTCTATTAGAATAATAAATGAAGATTTACATGCATACCAATCAATTCTTATGTATTTACATATCTAAAACCTAAACTACAATTTTTACATATATGTCACTTTCACTATGCATGAAAAGGTGTATTTCACCTTTTAATAGTAAACATAGGGGTACTTTTAATGCGATATGAAGGATTTGGGTGGTATAAATGTAAAATGTAAAGTTTAGGTGTTAGGTGAATGTGTATACATAAGAATTGTGTGAAATGTATGTAAATGCCCCAATAATAAAAAGATATCAAATTATAAATATTTTACATCCAACCTGAACATATCCAACGTCTCTGTCATATACGGAGTATGCTTTCAAAACATTGTAAAGGGATCTTTGGCCAGGTCCATGCCTCTGCTGGAAGAAAACATGTGAAGGGAAAGTTCGCGAAATGTCGCGAATAATATCCAATTCCGATGCCGATATCTCATAAATCACTAATTGCTGCAGTGAACAGAAAGATTTAATATGAAGACCTTGTAAAACACATTGAAATAGTGAAAAAATTTAGCAAAAAAATATGAGAAATTAATATAAGAAACACAATGTGCTGTAGTAAGCAATTATAAGCAGCGTCAATCATGTAAAACATCTAGCAAATAACATATAAAACTATTTGAATTTATCAACACTTGAACAAGAAAGATTGTCTCTATAGACCTCCATATATTATAATACACAAACCGACTCGGTTCAATGCAACAGAAACTGGATCAAATGGATGCAACTTTCAAAAACTTGACTCTGACAACTCAGTCACACAAGAGCACCTGCATGTCGCCCAGTTCTTCACGGGCCAAGGGAGAGATCAGCTAAACCATGGTAGAAAGCTAAGCACTAAAGCTATCCACTTGGGTATCACATTATGCTTGCGTCAAAGTGGGGGGATTTAGTGACACGGGGCTTCCCGCACTGACGTGGCTTCCTGCGGTGGGATTTCCCGCTACTGAACCGACCGGTCCGATTGAGACCCGATCCAGGGTGAACCCAGATCAAGCGGCCTAGGGAGGGATTTTGGGATTTTGACAGGGCGGGACTGCCGCCCGCCCCTCTCCTTTTTCCTTCTCTGCTTCACCTTCATATAGGAGCTATTTATTTGCTCCTTTCCGGGTTTAGGGTTCGCTTTTGATGTATTTTACCTTCAAATTTCTTGTGTTGAGAGTTTTCCCTATTCTAGGGTTGTATCCAAGGAGATGATGATGTTCCAGTTGTATCCTACTTTAAGGTGGTGTTGAATCTTACTCAATCTTCCTCCCTAAACCTTCTCATACCTTCCCCTCAATCGTTGGACACCCCAGACCCTTGCTCCCTGTATGCACGCCCCTACAACTGTCTTTCCCCACGTCGTCTAGCTTCTCTACCTGTTTCAACCACCTCGTCGACGCTCCTATCTACATTAACATTGTTGTTCAGCCTTCCCACCATCCCAAACCACCTTGTCGCCTTCTACTACAGCTGCCCCTACGGTCCCGGTCACTTACCAGCCTACCAAGCCCCTTTCCTAGTGTTTCTACCTATTGTCCACTACTCCATATCCTTCCTCCACATCAAACAGTCCCATTACACCCCTTAGAAGAGCAGTCCCGACCCTCTAGATTACTTATCAACCCCGACAACCCCTTCCCTATAGCCATCCTCCTTGTCCACCATACCTACCGACCACCAAACCCCTTCCTAGCCGACCTCACATCCACCAACCCTTCCCCTACCCACACCACCTTGCCTTCACCCTCAGATCTTCCCTTCTGGTCCAAGTTGGACATTGGTTTGTTATTGTGTTTTCCCTTTCCGTTTGTGTTCTGTTATAACCCTAACTCGATATTAAAAAAAGATTGTTTTGCATTTTCCATTGAAGTTCCAACTAGTTCTAGTATCATTTGCTATCAGAGCTAATCCAATTCTAGTCATATCCTAGGGTTTCCTAGAATCCGCTCCTACCCAAGCCGTCCCTACCAAAATTTTTCCTTTTCAATTCCCAAACCTCAGCAAAAATTTGACCTAACCCTAATAAACCCTTGCTAATTTTCAAAATCAGCAGCACCAAATAATATTTCCTATACCGTTAATGAGTCTCCTACACCCTCTTTCACCTCTCAACCCTAAGTCTATCCATGTCACCAACAAAATATATACCTGAGTCTTCCTGTGAGGAGATACGGTGAGAAATTCGCCGACTTTAGTGGTGGCTTGTGGATATTGAAGATAAAATCCAATAAGAGGTTACCCTCGACTGTGATTTGGGTAGTCGAAGAAGAGAACGAGAGAATGTGAAAATGAAGCGGGAGAGACAGGTTCAATTCCTGACAACTTAATATAGACAAAGGATGTAGATATAGCTTCAAAAGTGGAGAGACCACATCGCCCAGCGACCTCCGCGTCTTACAGACATAGTTCAACCTCAAAAACTTATAGCCAACGTACCCCCAGGAAAACATCCAAGATGACATTGTCAGAGAAAAATTTGATTCAGAGTAGAGAACAGGTGAAACCACTTCGCATCCCTATATCGATCACAACCAATAAGTGTTACAAGTGTCACGGATTTGGGCATGTTGAATCAGAAAGCACAACAAGAGATATATATATTTCATTAAGCAGGGTGTTGTTAAGAAATTTGGTAATGACGCAGTAGCCCTTGACGATGGGGAGGGCATAAAGGAGGATCAGCTTCGAGTTGAAGAAGTAAACGGTGAACAGAAAAAAGATGCAGACTTCAGAAAGTATCATCAATTATCAATCAACCAGAAAGAGACAGGACTAATTCCAGTTTACCCCAAGATAGAAATGACAGCTGAGGAAACAGTAATGGTTTTGGAAGGTAGTGACCTCAATGTAATGGGCTTTCCGGCAAAGTGTGAAACTGTGGTACCTCGAGCTACCGTTTTGCAGGCGTTAAGAGGAACATCAGTATGACTGACTTGAGATGTCCAAAAAGGGCATGAGTTTGAAGAGCCGATCACAAATACAGGACCACCACAGATAAGAAAAATGTAGATTTTTCATATGCATAGACCCCTTCCTGAGTTACCCCTACGAAGGGAGGTCTGGCATGCCAGAAGTGGGGTTATTTTTTGTCATATCGAGAATATTATGGGGGGTTAATCCAACGGTATTTTCAGTCCAGCATGGTACCCATCGTCAAATGTCCAGATAGAAAAGGTGAACAACTTTGTAATGAGCTTGAGAATCTTGATGGGGACGAAATTCTTCAATAAAATCCAGGTCTTATCAGTGAAGAAGAGGTCTCTCCTGAGGGGGTGCTAGTAAAATGGGTGAAGCATGCCACAAATTTCACCCCAAATTTGATTTATCCTTCCATACCAGTTCCTTAATTGCATTAAACCGATTATAAGGAGTGGAAGAAGTATGTTACCCCTGGAATGGCTCGATACCTGAGCCAAGAGAATACTCATCTGCCTACAGTCGAGCTCAGAGCGTGCCAAAATTAGATGGATACCTATTCTACCAAAATGTATTTTGGAACAACAACGCTTATAAAATCAACCTGTCAGGGGACTACAATATCTCAGTCACACTCAACATCGCCGACCTAACATAGTACTAAGAAGAGCTCGAAGCTTCGAACAATGAAGTCGAAGCTAACACAGCCCTGAGGAATGAAACAGGGCTTCTCGTACTGACACGGAACTTCCCACACTAACGCGACTTCCAGTGGCGGGATTTTCCGCTAATAATTTGACTGATGAATTTTGAAAATATTTTAAATTTAAAAATAGTTTTATTATATAGGTGAATTTGATTTTGAAAATAATATTTTGAATTTTGAAATAAATGAGGCCAAATCGATCCCACATATTCGATAGTTTAGATAGTTGAGCGTGCTACCGCAAGTAATACATTATTCCGAAGTATAAGCCGCAAGTAATACACTATTCCGAAGTATAAGCATATCACTTGTAATTGGCTTAACCACCTGAACTAAAGAGTTTGCGACTTCCGTTTGATTTGCGAAACTTTTAATGTGTGACCGACAAGTTCTACCTAATATGAGGATTAAACATGTTTTATTTTACCTGAACTCTTAATTCTCTATAGCGACAAACCCCTATAGTTAATTACATCTTAAATGACTGAAGTCGCTTAAGAAAACTCTCGATTAAGATCCATAGTTCAGTCTTCAAAAATTCAATGTTCAGGTTTTCAAGGTTGGACATAGAAAGGTCAAGTAGGAAAGGGTCAAATGGAAATATTTATTATTGGAATTAAATGAAAGAAAAGTATAGAAAGCTGAAGAGAACATCGGTGACTTCCCAAACTATCATATTGTTGGGCTTTAAATTTTAGAAGTGAATTCATTTAAATTTCAATCCTGTCAATTATTAATTATAGGATTACACTTGCATAATATCTGGTTATGCAAATAACCTAGAAGATAAGAGGATTTACATTGTATCGGGAGACAACCTAGAACCCTAAGACGAGTTAGGGCTTATATTGCACGATATGCAAAAGCCTAAAAAATAAGGTGAAAATTTATGTTGCACTAAACGGACCACCCCAAAGTCTTATAGTTATGGGGGAGGGTAATTAATTATAGGTTAAGATGAATTACAAAGTTTTCTCATAATCAATTTGGATTTATGTCGGGCAGGTCTACCATGGAAGTTATACATTTATTTAGAGGTTTGATGGAGAAGTTCAGAGATAATAATGAGAATTTACATTTGATTTTTATTGATTTAGAAAAAGCTTACGATAAGGTTCCAAGAGATATCCTTTGGAGAGTTCTTGAAAAGAAGGGTGTTGATATGACTTATATTCAAGTCATTAAAGATGTGTATACTAGAGATGTTACTTGTGTTCAAACTGAAGGAGGATTGACCAAATATTTTCCTTTCTGTTGGATTACATCAAGGACTGGCTTTATGACTTATGTTATTCAAACTATGAGTTTAGCCGATATAGACTAGTTTTGATATTGTAGATCATCATTTTTCGTCTGTTGCATCCCCTTCGTGTTGTTCGCGAAGACTTGCCCCATGATCCATATCGTAACAGTTTCAGGTTTAGTGTTTTATGTCTTATGTCTTTAATTTCAATCACTATTAATCTATTTATTAAAGGGTATGTGTTTAGGTTATCACTGTGATCCATCCTAGGCAAACCGACTATTGTTCTCTATTCTGAAGGTTTTATAATTAATTTAAAGCATGCATAAACAAGATATGTTCTAAGAAAGTGCAGTAAAAGAAGTGTTATAAGAAAAATACTGTAAATATAATATAAACATATGTACCTGGTGTGTTTGTTGCTCCTGCAAATGAGGTTAGAGCCACGGGTAAAAATAAGCAAGTGTCACAGATAAGAGTAAACAAGTATCGCAGAAAGTTTAATTAGTTGGGCAAACATGCATGTATATATGTGTAAGAGTCGGGTGGTAAGTAAAAAAATGAGTGACAAGTAAAAGAACAGGTGAAATACAA